ACTATATAATAGTCTAGCAGATATACTATCCCAGTCAATATACTCTGCTTTTTTCAAAACCTCTCTGACAGTATTTTTCTTATCTAATGGTATACGTTCCATCTTACCTATAGGTATCTTTTCTTTTAACTCTTTCAATATTTTGTTTGTGTCTGGTATATGTTTGAGACGGTTCATATAGTTGTCGAAGTCATTGCATATAATCTTTGAGTCAGGAAATACAGTATGGCACAAATGGGATATATAGAAACTTCCACCGAACAAATCTACAAATGTTAGACCATTCGGTAGTTTCTTAAGTTCTCTCAATAGAATATCTTTACATCTACTCTTATTTCCAAAGAAGGGTAGCGGTGGTTTTGTAAAATTCATTTTATATTTAATAAAAATGTTTTTTCCCTGAAAAGTGACAGAAAAGTGACAAAACATGAAAACTACTCGGTTAAGGTTTTTGACAGATGTTTATATGACACTTTCTCCGGTTTATAGGACCTCTCTCATATTCTATCTTGTTAAGACTTCCTGGACTGTTGTCAAAATGTCATGTTGTCTCATTTTTTCAGAGAAGTTGGTTTAACCGAGGGACCGAGGGACCGAGGGACCTGGTGACGTAGCGACGATAGACCCTTACTTGTTATACTAAACATCTTCAGGGGCTAGAGGGGCGCAGCCCTGGAAGCCCCAATACCTTTTTTTTTTTTTTTTTTTTTTTTTTTTTTTTTGTATTATATTCCTTTCACTATTATCATTGATTTTGGAAGGATGATAAAAAAATTAAAAAGCTGATAAAACTCTACAAATAATTGAATTTTTTAAATATAAAAATTGATCATGGATTATCATAATGAACTAACAAAATCTATCACTATTTCACATTACGATACATCTTTGAATACACAAAACAAAAATCTATTTATAATGAATTTTTCTTAGTAATGATATAAGCATTTATATTTTAAGTTTCATTTTTTGGGGAAAATGTAAAGTTATTTAAAAAATTTAACGTATTTTATATTTCCTCGAATTGGATAAATTGGTCAGGTTGATATACTATTCAAAAACTTTCTAATTTTTTAATTTAATTGAATGAATCATAATATTCCGAACTGTTTTCCCGAATAAACAGCCCAATTAAGGATGTCAATTCGGAAAATTGTTTTCATTTTAGGAGAATATAATTTTCCTTTTCGAAAATTTAAAAAGTGAGACGCGCAGGATTCGAACTTTTTTAAAAGTTGATTTAAATATATTCTAGTGTGTATTCTAAGGATAATATCATATTTAAAATAAGAATATACTAGTTTAGGTGGTATAATTTTTTTCGATAAATTTGAGAGCATACACGTTTAGGGCATCAAAAGTGTCAATTCGCTCAGCGAAAGCCGAGCTAGCTTCGTTCTCGAAAGAATAGGGAAGGAGTGAAAGAGAGTGATACAGATGTTGACACATTCATATCATTTCAACAAATTTTGATCAAATTGAAATTCAATGAAATTCAATTCACTTCATATCCTTCAGTCAGTACATTGACATCCTTCTACATCACAATGATAACTCGTGCATCAATAGTTCTACAACTAACTCAGAAAAAACAAGATTTTTCCTTCCAGCTTACAGCTTTTAAAAAGTTTCGATAATAAAAATCACTCTACTCTTGTTTATCGATATGTTGTGATAGTAGGTAAACGTATTCTTATCGATATTAATAAAAATATTTTTACGAAAATCTGAACCAATTACAGAGTTATTCATAAAGTTTATGATAACTGTAATTACTTCATCTTTGTTTAATATTTGAATAAACAATTTAATTTAATTTGCATAATTTTTTTTAGTTGAAAGACAGGAAACTTAGTTGAGTTTGTATTATTTTTATCGCTCAATTCATTGTATCAGTGAGTGATCCAGATATTTAAGATATTTACAAAAAATTTATTAATTTGATTAACAAATTTTAATCAAAATAGCAAAAATCTATTTGATAGCTGTATGCAAACAATAATTTTTATTTCAAGCAAAATCAATTATTTTCATCTCAACGTATAAAATTGTCAATTTTATGAGAATAAATTTAAAATCTCATGAAATATAAAGGAGAGTAATATTTTTCAATTTTCTTTTTTTCTTTGTCTCAAATATTTTCTGTTGGGAATTTTCTTGTTATCAAAAAATAATTTTAATATTTGTTTATTTCATTTAAGGGTTTCGTTTTGCTAAAATTGTCACTTTTATAGCATATTTGTTTTTGGATGTTTTGCGAAACCAAAAAAAAAACTATGATATACAATGTGTGTGTAAAGAAAATACTTTATTTACTAGTTAAAAAATCATTTGGTATTGATCAAGTTATTTTTTCTGGATAAGATATTATATGGATAATTGGATAGAAAATACAATTATATAATCTTGTACCTGGTTTAATTAAGCTAATTGTCATCAGAAACTTGTAATTTTTATGAATTTCAGATTTTCTTTTCATTACTGCTTTTCTTAATAGGTCAAGTTCTTATTTACGTTATAAAGTATGATATTTACAAATATCAAGTTATCATGTTTTTTTGAGAAATTATGAGAAACAAACAAAAATGAAAAAGATAGGAATAGCAATGAATAGTGATGTGGGTATAGAAAATGTAAGAGATATGAATGCAAAGCAATCAGTATTTAGGACATTGACCATAGATTTCGAAAAAAAAATGCTGCATATTGAGCGAAAACTATGATTATATTATAAGGCTGTCATTTAAAGCATAATGAAACTATTCCCTTTTCATTTTAATCGAATAAGATAGTAAAGATTTTGAATTAGCTAGAAACTGATGAGATGTTTTCACAAATCAGATTTTTAATCTCTATAATGCATAATTCACTCAATATCTCAATTTTGATATTGCGAGATATTTTTGCTATCGGTTTCGCAATTTTGACACAATAGCAAGAGGGTTCTATAAGCATTATTATCAACGTAGAATCTGAATATCATATCAGAAAATGTCGCAACTCTGACATTTACCCGACCAAATAGCAAAAATCATTGAATACTTTTCGCAAAAACTTTAAAAATCGATAAAAATATGAAATATAGATATTAAAGAGACTTTTTATATAATATTCATAAAGATTTTCCAAAAATATGATACCGCAAAATTAAAAAGTGACGTCTTGAGTGGAGTCAAAGGTCGAAATTGCTAGCTAAATGTTTTTTTAGCGAAATTGCGTATTGTACGTTTTTTCGCAAAACGAAACCCTTATTTCATTACATACATAAAATTTTAAAAACTCTATTTGTTCACAAGAAAATTTTTTCCCTTCATATGAAGAAACATTTTGTTCTCCATTTGATGCTGAGTCTAAATCTCGATTTTTGATTTTTCTTCTTTCCAAATTTCTTTTTTCCAAATTAGAAGTTTAATTCAAATTTTCAATAGTTTATATATTTTCTCAAACCGTCTTAGATTTTCTCACTTTTTAGGGATTTTCTCTCAAAATATACAAAAATAGTAATATCAATACATGTGTCTAATATACTTTAAAACCATCGTGATAAAATTCAAAAACGAAGAGTTCTTCTCTCCAAATTTTTTTCAAAATCAAAAAAATGAGATAAAAAAGCATGTTTGGAAAATTCATTTTTAGCATTTTAGGAATTTTCTCACTTTTCTTCCAAATTGACATCCTTAGTTTATAATATCAGTTTGTTATAAGTAATAGGTATTGATTTTTCAATTTATAAACTAATATAATTTTGTGGCCTTTTTTACATTTTTTTGTTATATTGAGAGGCTCTAAATATAAAATCGATTAAATATAATAGTGGAAATTATTATTTGTCGTAGATACTTTTTTAAATACTGAAATTGCATTCATGCATTTATCAAAGTTATTTTTCTCAAACGACTAAAAATTAAAGAGAAATATTATAATTTTAATGCTTCTTGTCGCTAGGATTGTTAGATAAGGCCATGAACCAGATATGGTTTTGCAAATAACGGAATTTGAAAAAGAAAACATTTATAAAAATCAATTATATTATGTCAGATGTATTGCTTATGATATTGAAGTAGCATATCATAGTTCATAAGAGCAATTATGTCATATTCATGTAATGAAAAATGGTAATGTTATTCAAATTTAAGATATTTTAATAGTGATTCAACATTATACTGAAAGCGTGAAATATGTGCCATAAATTGATAAAATCTAATTTGAAATATTAAGTGCATTCCAGAACAAAGCTTCACCATTCCATGAACTTAAAAAGACCAATAAGTACAAATGTTAAATATATTTATTACTTCATATCATAATGAAATTATAAAATCAGAATAATTAGCAAAATTTTTGGTAATTCTATTACAATTCATCTTTTATACTATTTATATTAATAATCCATATAAGTTTGATCAAAAAAACGAAAAATAAATTTAATCATATATTTTTATTTGTTTCATTAAAATAAACACTTTATACTTTTTGTTACAACACAAACTCTTCTTGTGTGAATTCATTACCGTTCTCAACATCAAGAGTGAAAACTTTTTGTGAATTTATTGCGCTTCTACCATCTTCTGCGGATATAACAGTTTCTTCATTGATATCCACAGCATCAATATATTGATCTTTTTCGTTTTCTTCCTCTTCTTCTTCATTTCGTTTTCCTGCTGCAAGGAAGAATATTAGTAAACTTACTAAAGTAATTAGAGCTACAGCTCCAACTGCTGCGCCAATTATCATGTATATTTGCTTCTTCTTCTTTTTGGCATCGTGTTCTGTTGCATTATCACCTCCGGATGTTGTATTGCCTTCAGGTTTACTATGATCCTCTTCTTCTGTTTGCTCTTTTTTGTCATTGGGCTTTTCAATTTTACTTACTTCTTTATTTCTGTTATCCATAATGAATATAACAACTTTGTTATCTGCATTTTCTGATTTCTTTGGAATTGTTATGTTAAATGAGTAATATGTGGCTTCATTATTTTCTGTAGGTGGAATAACAAATTCGTAAATTTCTCCATTAATTTCTGCTTTGAATGTATAGTTGATTGTAGATGGATTCTTTACTTTCATTGATATTGATACTTGACTTCCTGGTTCAATCTTTAATGGATATGTGACATTTGGTCCTGATTCAAAGATGGGTCTTGGATGATTGTTAACTTGTATTTCAAATGAAATGTCACTCTTGCATTTACAATTATCATTATCAACAGCAGTAATTGCAAGTTTGTATTTGCCTTCATCCAACTCCTTTGTATTCAATGTGAACTTTTTAGTTTGTGGGGTGTTCTCAAGTATTGTGAATTTCTCTTCTTCAAACTTTTTTCCACCAAATTCATATGTTATTTTTGCGCTTTTATCATCATTTACTTGAATTTCGAAGGGAATTTCATCCCCAATCAAACATGTCTTTACTGGTTCTTTTGCAAAGGAAATAGTTGGAAGTACATTTGCTGTTATTTCTTTGCTCACTTCTTTGGACTTTCTATGATCTTCATCTTCAACCCAAACAATCAAATTCTTTGTTCTTTCTGGTCCAGCAATAAAATCGAATGAAAAATGCTTTTGACTTCCATTTTCTTTGACAGAATGTTGCTCAACAGTATGTTCTGTGTCTGTATCTCCATACTTGTACTTAAGTGTAATTATGCTATCATTATAGATTGAAGAATATTCTCCAGTTACAGTGACAGTGTCACCTTTGATTCTGAATGTTTCCAAGTCATCGAGCTTTATTATAGGTGGAATTCTTGTATATTTGCCAATAACTAATAATACATTGAATGATTGTTTCGAATGCGGAAGAATCTCTCTATTAATCCATCCTATCTCAAAGATTGAATCAACACCTACTAAAGGGTTGAGTTCTTCCATGTTTCTGCCAATTAATGAATTATCACTATCATACTTGCCATAGTATAAACAATCAACATTTGTTACATCATATCTGTCGCGAACTAGTAATGTAATGACATCCCCTTTTTCCACTCCTTCTATTGTACTTTCCATTGTGAATCCGATTCCATTTGTCAAAGCTTTAACTGTTGCTTTATCATCTTCGCCTATACTTATATCTGCATAGATACCTAGATCAAAAATTTTGGCTTCGTCACCGTTGTTAGTCAAATCAAAGATAATTCTCATATAATTCTCTCCAAGTGATTGATCAAATCTTGGTTCAAGTTTCAAACCTTCTTCTTCGATGATTCCTTTGTTTTTTGCAAGTGCAGTATAGGTCATATTGCTGTTTGAATCATTTGGGTTTGTTGTGTTTGTTCTTAGTTGAACTCTCCATCCATAATTTTGGTAAGTTGTTCGACTATTGTTCCTATATCTGAAGTCGAAGGCTCTATCAGACTTACCAACTTCCCATGTTTGAAAGAGGGCAGCTTTTGCGCCAAGTAGAAGCAATGGTAGCATTATTCAAATATTTTATCGGCAAAGTTTTGATAGTTCAAAAATTGAATTGGAATTGTTTATCACTTTTGATGATAATGATCGAGTGTCGTTGATGTCAAATGCTGCAAATATATTATTTTCATAGCTTTTCGCCTAAATAACCTAATTGATTACACTATCAACTTTTCAGTGTCATTTCAATTTGATAGTTATCTAAGAAATAAAATTTTCTGTGTATTATATTCCTTTCACTATTATCATTGATTTTGGAAGGATGATAAAAAAATTAAAAAGCTGATAAAACTCTACAAATAATTGAATTTTTTAAATATAAAAATTGATCATGGATTATCATAATGAACTAACAAAATCTATCACTATTTCACATTACGATACATCTTTGAATACACAAAACAAAAATCTATTTATAATGAATTTTTCTTAGTAATGATATAAGCATTTATATTTTAAGTTTCATTTTTTGGGGAAAATGTAAAGTTATTTAAAAAATTTAACGTATTTTATATTTCCTCGAATTGGATAAATTGGTCAGGTTGATATACTATTCAAAAACCTTCTAATTTTTTAATTTAATTGAATGAATCATAATATTCCGAACTGTTTTCCCGAATAAACAGCCCAATTAAGGATGTCAATTCGGAAAAAAAAAGGTATTGGGGCTTCCAGGCGCGTTGCGCCCTCTAGCCCCGAAGATGTTTAGTATAAAACCGCTTTTTAACTTCACTTAAAATGCCACGTAAGCTACGTAAGAATATACGTAAGAGGAAGAGAGCATTGAAACATCCAATAGTAAGACTGACACCACAACAACAGTTGCAACAACAAATGCTGAATGACCCCACTATGTTGCAACAAATGCCAAGCAATCCTATGCTTTTAAACCGAGTTGTTGGTGCACAGAGTGGAGGTTTAAGAGCGGCACTTTTAGCGAAAATGGCAGGCTATGGTGGAGCTGCAGACAGAACAGCCTATAACCCTCAAAGTCAAATGAATTTGAGTTCACTCAAAAATCAAATAGCAGATGTCAAAAAGTCAAACATAGACATACAGAAGCAAATAGGTGAAAACGAAAAGAAACTAGAATATGACAGACACACAAAGAAACTCAATGAGTTAAACGTAGAGAAAAAGAAGAAAGAAGAACAACTGAAAGAACTAAGTACAGAGCAATATGCGAAAAAAGTGTCAGAAAAAGCAGCAGAAGTAGCAAAAATGGAACAAGATGTCATAAATTTGAAAAACCATACTACTCAATATAAAGTACTGAAAGATGAAGAGATAAAACAAAAAGCCCTGAAGACATATATGGATAGCGATGAGTATAAAAAGGAAGTTGAAGCAAATGTAAAGGCAGAAAAACTTTTACAGTTGCAAAACCAAACCGTACAGTATGAAAACTTAGCACAAGAAAGTAAAAATAACGACGCAGCCATGCAAAAGGCAATGAAAAGCGCAGAATATATAAAAGCTAACAATGACTGGTTAGATGCCCAAGCCAACGCTAAAGCAGCCCAGCTTATAGGGTCAATAAGGACAAAAATACAAGCGGATGAAGACAGTTCAAATGAAGCTTTAACAAATGCTGACTTTAAGAACGCCTTCGAAGCTCTTCATAGTAAGGTGAAACAAGTGAACGATTTCTCATCTGGAAAGAAACTGAAGTCTGAAGGTTTCGACAAAGAGTTAAAAGAAGTAGCACAAAATATGACGAAAATAACAGATGCAGCAACGAGACAGGCAGTTCAAAGTGCCTATGACGCCGTTAGAGCAACTGTTGTGAAAAGTCAATAAAAAGAGTTACAACAGACCAAAACAGACCTAGTAAATGCTTTCTTAAAAACGAAAAGTCAGGTAGGACATTACGCTGCAGATGGAACATATGTGCCAGCTGGTGGAACTTATGTACCAGCTGGTGGAACTTATATACTAGCTAGTGGAACTTATATACCACCAAACCCTCCAAGAGAAGCACCTGCACCAGGACTACCTAACACATTTACATCGTCACATGGACACAGACACAGGCATGCACCAAAACCAACACAACAACAACAACAACAACCAGCACAGCAACCAACAGTTCAAAACCCTGCACAACAACCACCTCCACAACCAGCACAGCAACCAACAGTTCAAAACCCTGCACAACAACCACCTCCACAACCAGCACAGCAACCAACAGTTCAAAACCCTGCACAACAACCACCTCCACAACCAGAGCAAGGACATAAAAGAAGTAGAGAACAAGGAAACCAAGAATTCTTAAAAATGCTTAAAGAAGACTATGGTTACCCAGATAGTATTGACTTTAGTGACAGATATAAAGAAGCTATTAGAAAGTTCAAGGATGGAAATACTGACCCGAACCTATTTAGCTTTATGGCTCTGCACCAAAGGGATATAATCTCAAACCTGGAAAATACAAGCTCGCTAAGGGATATGATTTAATAGCATATCATCCAAATGACATGAACGAATTTACTCCGAGATATTTGATGTCAGAGCTAAATGACAATTTAACTCTCTTCATGAAACGCGTAAAAAATAGAGACGGAACGAAAGAAGAAAGGTTTATGAGTCCGGATGACTTAGAAAGGGAACTTGTTGAAAACGGTCTCGGAATATATGAAATGCCAGCAGATGAGGTACAAGAAACTCCACAGGAAGAACTAGTTCAGATACAACCAGACATGGAAGAAATAGTTCAGCAACAACAGCTAGAAGAGCCTGAAGGAAACGAACAAGTCCTCCTTTGGAAACTAACTTCACAGAACTAGATGAAGATTTGGAACAGCCGAAAAATCTTGACCCTCAACAAGAGTATGCGGAGAATATGGAATATTTCCAAGAGTCTAAAAAAAATTCGGCTGACATAGTAGAAGAATATCGAAAAATGTTTGCCGACATACAAAAGACTCCAACACCAGATGAAAATATTCAGCATAGAATGGAAGTACTGAAAGAAAATGTACACAAATACAACAACCCTTTTTACTTACGAGCATTTAACGTTCAATCTTCGGATGAACTCGGTGAAAATAAAAGGTTAAATTTCAAGAAAACATATAGAAATGAAACATTGTTTAAAGTTCATTCAGAACCTAACCAAGATGGAAACAAACCTACTTTTGTTTCTGCAGACGATGGAACTACAATGAGATGGGGTCATAAAGCTAATCCGGATAGGTGGTTCATAAACTTACAACCACAATTCCAAGAAGTTGTAGACGCAATGGAAGTCAATGGTGAACCAGATATAGCTGGTATTTTAAGCGCGGCTTTAATGCCATTGAAAGATATGAAACATGCAGATATTTTGGACCAGTATGAAATGAACATGGCTGATGGAAATATAACACCTGACGTTCTAGAACATTTATCTCAAAGAACTACACAGAACCATAGAGATGGTATATTTGGTGAAGAGTTTAGAAAGAAAGTTAGGGAGAGAGAAGGAAGAGAACCTATTGTACATGACCTTGCAAACGAAAGTTTACAAAATGTCATAAAAACTTACTTTGCAGACAATGAACTGAGAAGGGATGAATATTTAAGAAAACTCAAATGGACAGTACCAAATGAAATGTTAGTATTGAAAAACATGTTCCTTGACAAAATAAAACCAACTACAGAAATAAACGACGCAAGACTGAAAGATTGGGTAAAAGCTTTCCCATTCACAAAAGATATTGTTGGTAACATGGAAAGAAAACCAGAATGGCTACAAAAACATATATTTGGAAACGAGCTTATTCCATATGGACAGGCACTGTTTGAAGAGCTTGAACCGGAAACTCAGGAAAGAGTCATGCAAACAATACGCGAAGACTCAAATACAAACTATGACAAACTCTTTCTAGGATATAGGTTACCTGAGATGGGCGACCAGAGCCCAAAGGCAAAAAGGACATGGGAAATTTACAACATACTAGTGAACATGAGGCAAAGATGCAACAACTTGAAGCAGAGGGCAAGTTACCAAAAGCGACACCAAAAAGAAGAGAAGAGTAGAACAAAGTGAAAGTAGTGAAGAAGTAACTTCATCTAGTGAAAGTAGTGGCAATGAAGGAAAAAGAAGAGTTAAAAACTCAGTCAGGAAGAAAGTAAAGCTTGGTCCACGTGGGTTCTATTATGACATATAAATCCAACTATTCTATATTTTTACCCATATGAAATGTACGCCGCTCAGAATATAACGCCAACAGTTTTGGATGCCATGAATGGAAATGTTTCCGAATGGTATAACGAATGCGACAATGCCATTAGAAGGTCAGAAATAGTTCCTGGAACTTACGAATATACAACTGCTGTTTCTTATGGAAACGTAGGTGAGTTTGGAGAAGGTTCTTCAACAACAGTAGATATTGCTTGCGACAGGTTTCATATAATTTCTATTGACAACTCTTTCTTATACGTGGAACAAGACATTGAAATAAAACCTTCTGCCAAGTTGTCTGACAAGAAAGGTTGCAATGGAATTTTCTATGTCGGATACCAATATGCTCCAGAAGTTTTCATGGGATATAAGATATATTCTAACTCTGACTTAGTTCAAACAGTAACATGGGCAAACTATGAATGGTTCGCTTTGAGAAACTCAGTACAACCACAAGCTAGAGAACAAACAGACCAGTATGCAACTATTGAGAAAATAAGAAGACTTGACCCTAACGTTCCAGGAGTTTATGTTAACCTTTCTGGTTCAGATGGAAAGCTGCCACTAAAGTAAAATTGAAACTTAGAGTTCCTTTGTCATCTTTCCTCATCTTCAGGTTTTTAAGATACTTGCCAAACTGGGCAGGAAAAATTTCTATCGAACTTACTCCAAGCAAAAATAACTTAGTCATTGCACCAACACAAGACCCATTCACTCTTACTGTAGCTGGAACTGGTGGAGCCAAGTTCTGTGACTTTTGCAAAGACAAAGTTGACTTAGACTTTGGTTTCTCAAACCTCAACACTGAAGTAAACTACTACTTCAATGCTGCTGGAACTGCTTGGGACCCAGTTAAGTTCACATGCGAAAAGTTTGAATGCAAGAGAATAGAAAGCAGACTTGCAGTCTATATGTTGGACCCAGATATTTCAAATGCTTTAGCTGCCAAATATATTGCAGTTCCACTTATGTTCCCTATACACCAAATATCTGTCAAAGACTTTGCAGGTGAAGTTGGAAACCAAAGTGCTGACCCAGGTGCAAGAACAGATATTGCTTAACAACTGCAATGAAACATGCAGATACTATGTTTGTACTGTTCAGACGAACTATAAATGACTATTCTTGTTTCTACAACCCGGTATTAAATATCATATAAACATAGATGGCAAATATTATCCAAGAGAAGAATATTCTACAGTTGAGGATATGAGGTCATACAACTTGACATTAGATGCTATGAACTTTAACAACAACTTCACAACAACCATTAACCCTGAAATGCAAAGTTCTATTATGCCATATGTGAAAGTATGGACTCATACAGGAGGTCAAAACACTCAATATACAAATGGAGACCGTTCAAACTTTTGGCTTGGCATTCCATTTGCTGACTCAGAAGACTTTATGGGTGGTATTTCAACTGTTGGTACAGTTCAAATACAATATACTGGTGACAGAGACGGTCCAGATGAATTGAAAGCAAAGAAGTTTACAAAACCAATAGCACTTTTCACGGAAGATGCTCTTTTGAAGATTCGTTCGATGAAACCTGCTGGGGCTCCTCAGATTGGTATAACGACAGCTTCCATCGAGCAGATTTTGGCAGCAGGTCAGTAAGTTGTTCTTGAACTGACTTCTCTCCGTCAAATATTGACAGTACGCCAGTTTTGAATATATTGTATTATAAACTTACCTTTAGAAATATCGGTCAGTTTTGTTGTTATATTTTTGTCTGCTTCAAGAACTTTCACCATCTCGGTTATACCAACTTTCTTTGCTTTATGAAAATATTTTGGTTCAGCAAAGACTGCTATTCTATAACATTTTCCATTGTTTGTAAAGAACTATCTGTCAATGAACTTGTATTGTTTGTGTGTGTAAACTTTGTTTTGCTTCAATTCGAAGAGATACTCAAATACGTCCATCTTTTTATTCTAAGTAAAATGTCATTTCCGAAAAATAGAAGCGTAAGTGTTTCAAAAGGTTTAATGGCGATGGCAGATGTGAAGTTAAATTCACCAACTCAAACAAACAGTCAAAGTGTTGTTGTCAATGTCAAAGACAGAGATGTTGAAGTGGGGAAACCATACGAAGACGAAGATGGTATAACAATAGTTCCTGTAAAAGAACAACCAACATACCCTGAAGTTAGCAGAGACTTAAGTTCTGTTGCAGATATTCGAAATGACTACCAACAACTTAAAGACAAACTTAAAACTCAGGAGAAGATTTGTCAAGCTTTAGGTTAATGTTAAACTTGGTCGAACACAACCCTGTAAAAGTGAACTCATATGTCATTGCACCTCATGAAATTTTGAAAGAACTATTGAAACTTTTGACAGAGGCAGACGATATAAACATCAAAGAAATAGAACCCGACATTGCTTGCTGTGGTGTTTCATATAATGTCATTGACAAGATATACGTTATGAAAGGAGGTGAAACGTTGAACTTAAAATATAGTTTCCCAGACGTCATAAAAATATTTGACGACCACAACATTTCATTAA